TTAGATGAGCAAAAGTGGAAAACAAATCATGTATCACGATTTACGGGCAACTGCCACTTAATCGACCAATCATGGAGTAGATCGAACGTAGATTGTAATCTGTTCGCGTCTTCAAGGCTGGATACTTCCATCCTCAGCTTTAGGTCGTCAGCGTAGATTTTTCAACCCGTCTGAAGAGTGGATGGGAATTCGTTGATGAAGATACTTAAAAGTACGGGACCGAGGACCGAGCCCTGTGGGACCCCACTTGTCATGAGAATAGGAGCAGAAAATGTGTCATTCACCTTCACTTGCATGGAGCGGTCGTTTAGAAAGTCAGACATCCAAGACTGGAGGTTCCCAGAAACACCGATTTTTTGGAGTTTAAACAGAAGCCGTTCATGCGGGACTTTGAAAAAAGTATTGCTGAAGTCAACAAACACAACGTCCAAGCGTTTGCCGGAGTCTAGCGACCTTGCCCAGGTCTTCTTAGCAACGAGCAAGTTCGAGGTACAAGCGCGTGCTTTTCGGAACCAGTGCTGTGTATAAGAAATGACATTCTGTCCCCTAAGATGAACAGCCTGTTTTAGCACCCGTTCCATAACTTTACACACTATTAACGTCAAACAGATTGGACGATAATTGGCTGGATCATGTCGACTACTTCCTTTGTTGATGGGTTTGATGAGACCCACTTTCCAAGCTGACGGAAGACGGCGAGATTCTAGTGAGCGACGAAAGACTTGACATATGGGTGAGGCTGTGTATTTCACCAGAGTCCTGAGGAACAAAGGATGCAATCCATCAAGGCCGGGAGGAGCTGTACCGATCTAACTCAAGAAGGTTTCATCACAGAATCAGTGTTAATATCGACTTGGGCAAACGAAGATGGAAAGGTGAATACGGCTCTGCCACTAAATGGTGTTTTTCGCGTAAACAGGAGCGTATTGCTTAGCCAAGTGACTAGCTTTCTCAGCGTCATCGTGAAGTAAAGCATGATGATCACAGGAACACAAAGCATAGATGCCATTACCAGCTCTAGCGCTTCTTTTCAAGTAAGAGTAGAGCATTTTAGGCGCGATTGCGGAGTGTTGTGCCAATGATAGTCTGTATTGTCGGCGTTTCTGATGCTTCACCGCGACACAAACATTTCTGACAGCCTTGTATTGAGGGAAGTCGGGTTCTGATTGAGATTGCCTAAAACGGTCCCATAATTTGCGCCTTCTATTCATAGTTGACCTCAGTTCTCGATCCATCCAAAGTGAGCCTCTGGTGAAGGGCTTTGAATGGGAGGAGGGAACGACCTGCTCACTTAGCGACGTCATTTTAAAGAGCACGAGATTCCACGCGTTGTCAAGGTGAATGTGTTCAGCGATACCCCCATCCGTAGCGCTTGCGGCCGTTTTCAGACGGAGTGGGACGGTACGTCAAAAATTGTACTTTATTTTTCGTGTAAACTACCCCTTCGACCGCCGAACTTAATAAAAGCCATGTAAATGACCTCCAATGATTTGTAGCACCGCACGCACACCTTACTTATAAGCACTATCTCAATTGTGTCTCGAGCCGGGTAGGAGCATGGTTCCGTCACCTCGCCTTTGACTTGACCAAATTCAACTTCGCACCTGATGCACCCTTCGCTTGCTGACTGATGGGTTTGATATCTGGAGTCTCTATAGCCCATCTAGTATGATTGTGATGTCCGAGGTCGTAACAATCGACAAGCGACTGTCTTCCACTGCTATTGATGGTAAATACTTTCTCCCATATCTGATATCCAAACAGAAATATCGGAAGACCTATGCTGTCAAATGACCCAGTCATTTCATGCCTATCTCCTCAGTCACGCACAAAGAAAGTGACAATTTGAAAACAAGCAAGTTCGGATGCGGTCGATTGGCAGTCAGCTGATGGCCAACCATTACTGCGGCACTACCACGGCAGGCTCAATGTTACTGTCAACTTCTTCTGTACGCACAGAGGCGGCCACTCGCGATCGATTACGATGGCTCCAAATAGCTTGAGTATATGCGGCCTTTGGTTACGCATGAGGACAGTGAGTGAGTCATTTGGGTTGACCTGGTGGCCATTGTTCAGCAGATGTCTCGTGATTGCCGTAGCTATCCTGCCTTTGGATCCACCCGGTTCCACCGTCTGAGATCCCATTCGTTTGCGCAGCCATGTAGGGATGTGCTCATCAATCCTGACGCCTAGACTTCGGCTAATGCGCCCAATGTAGCCGTTCCCACAGCTACAGGTAAATTTGTATAAACGGTGGGACATGCACTGCTTCGTCGTCGGTGTCTTCAAAGAGCACATGAGCAATGGTCTTGTCGATGTGAGCAACCGTAACTCCGCCGCATTATACGATTTTTTCAAAGAGGCACTTATCCGTTTCGTCTCGACTTTAAAGTTCTTCGGACGCAAAAAAGCATATGCTTCAACACTTCCGTAGGAAGCCATAGTTCGATATTGTTTTGCGATAAGGATTCTGATAGGTGATCTGCGGTTTCCTCCAGCTGAACGTTAGTGAATAGCGACTGCACATCAAGTGAACACATTCGCTTTCCAGTCAAGTTTATTCTTTCCAAGTGAGGAAGTAATTCGACTACCTATGTGAATTTATCTCGCAAAACAATATCAAACTGTGGTCTACTGAAATGTTGAAGCATATGCTTCTTTTCTATGCGAAGAACGTCAAATTTTACTTTCAAGGGAAAGCGTATAGACAAATAGACGGTGTGGCTATGAGTAGCCCGTTAGGCCTTTTGTTAGCGTATGCATTCATGAGTATGATTGAAAGGAAGTGCGATGGTATAATAAGATCGGCGACACTGTACAAACGATATGTGGATGACCTACTTCTAATCATGGATTCAGACGATGACATTGTGCAGGCAACATCTACACCCTACCGTATGCATCCAAACCTCACTGTAACCTGTGAAGCTGAGCACGATCACCGCCTCTCATACCTCGACATTTCGCTCATACGATGGCCGGATGGTTCAAGTGGTCAGAATACCGAAAGGCAACCTAGACGGGCCAATATCTAGATTTTAAAAGCTCACCAATACAACATAAACGTTCTCTGGTCCGGACATTGTTCCATCGAGCCAAACTAATCTGTACGCCGGAAACACTTGAAGCAGAAAGATTTTCTGTTCGACACGTTGTGATCCATTGGTTACCCCTTACATTTCATGAAACGCGTCTGTGACATGACGAAAGTAGAACCAATGACGACTGTCCAGAAGAAGCCGGTTTTCACTGAGCTGCCGTTCAAAGGTGACCACATTATGAAAGTCACCAAGAAACAAATAATTGCCTCTTTGAAAAAATCGTATAATGCGGCGGAGTTACGGTTGCTCACATCGACAAGACCATTGCTCATGTGCTCTTTGAAGACACCGACGACGAAGCAGTGCATGTCCCACCGTTTATACAAATTTACCTGTAGCTGTGGGAACGGCTACATTGGGCGCATTAGCCGAAGTCTAGGCGTCAGGATTGATGAGCACATCCCTACATGGCTGCGCAAACGAATGGGATCTCAGACGGTGGAACCGGGTGGATCCAAAGGCAGGATAGCTACGGCAATCACGAGACATCTGCTGAACAATGGCCACCAGGTCAACCCAAATGACTCACTCACTGTCCTCATGCGTAACCAAAGGCCGCATATACTCAAACTATTTGGAGCCATCGTAATCGATCGCGAGTGGCCGCCTCTGTGCGTACAGAAGAAGTTGACAGTAACATTGAGCCTGCCGTGGTAGTGCCGCAGTAATGGTTGGCCATCAGCTGACCGCCAATCGACTGCATCGGATAATTTATCTGAATCTATTTTCCCATCGGTTACGAATCTATGGGTTATGATTACAGTGTCCAAGTCAACGCATGACACCCATGCTGTACGCTATTTAAGCCAAACTTACATTCCGTGACCCGGTACTTCCGTCCTATGTTGCGGCTATCAGCGTTCGAGATTCGGTCTGGCTGGCCGCGCTCTCTGCTGCTAAACTTGCTTCGATAAGCGAGTCACCTTATCACACAAAACTTCACTGCCATTTTTAACTGCTGTGGGAGCGAGGGTCACAGACCCACGGTTCCGAAGCCACTCATGACCGATGCCGCATCCCTGACTTCATAATCCAGTGAAGCCTTCAAACTGGTCCTCAGCTGTCCTTGCTTGAGTACAAAGTTGCACAGGAGGAGACCAAATGAGTTGTTCTAAAATTTATCGTTTTCAATATATTATACAGTTCCCTTTGTTGTGAGTTTGAATGTAGGTGCTACCACACATTTTCCACTGAGGAACGCCTTCGTGGCACCTAAGGTGTGAATGAGTCGGAACAACCGGTGATCTTTGTCTGCCATTTTAGTCTGCTTCACTTCCTGGTCACGCCAATTCGACCCGATAGACACGGTTCTATCCGGTCACTGGCCCTTAAGATATCCATGTGATTAGCATGTTCCCACTTTCGGCTGCGCCCACTGTCACTCTCCCCACCAAATTTGGTGATTTCTTGTTACTTTTCCACATACTTTCTCAGCATTACAAACTTCTTCTTGTTAGAGTTACATTTATGAAACACACATTAGACTCTGATCATTGGCTAGTGAACACGGTCGTCCGCAGATACCCTGACCACAATTCACTCAATTATCATGGTGACATTTGCGCTGACTTTACGTCTAAGTCCACTTCCCTGCTGGTCCACCTGATCGATATGCAATATATGTAGTAAAGATATGTGGTACTACATGATGTGCGCAAAATACCGTGGTCTTTGGAATGTGCCTTCTTAACTTTTGTACTTGGGAATGGTGGGTGCTCAATTTACCGCGACTCTTCTCCTTCACCTCTTGTTTTATTCTCGCCACTCATTTCCTCTATTGCTTTCGCCTATTACTACCAGCCGTCAAACCACTTCGTAACATTTCACCAACCTTTCTGTTTTACCACCTTTTACCTTGTTACTAGGTTGCTAACGATATCTCCTCTGCTTCACAAACAGATGCTTGGAAGGACAGACGGCGTACCTGTGGGGTGGATTCCGGAGGACTGCATCGGTAACTGGTGGCGTCCGAATTTCGAACCTCCACGATATCCCTACATTCCAGCGCATGTGACAAAGCCGAAAGAGCACACACGCCTTTTCCTCATTCAACTTCCGGAAAAGACGTTGTTCGCAGTTCCCTCAAATTACAAATTAGTCGCGGCTCCTCTGTTCGAGCTGTTTGACAATTCCCGCGCGTATGGACCCATCATATCCTCTCTACCACAGGTCTTGAGTCGGTGAGTTCACTTCAAATAAACCATGAGATAAATTAGTGCTTTTCTCAATCTTTTGTGATATGCATTTGTCTCATTACTACGTCCAATACCGTCTTGAACGTAAGAACTCTAACCGTTTCATTTTTTCTACACCGTCGGAGACGCTGTGGGTCAATGCGACTATCGTGCCATGTGAGATCGGAGAGTTATGACTACTTTGAAGTAAAATACACCTCACTAATCTCGAACTGCTGCGTTATCCAACTCTGTGGCACGGCCTTCGCAGTTTTCGCTGAAACACCATTTTTTGCCTTAGCTACTGCTGGTACAGCAGTTTTGTCATTTTGGTCGTCTTACCCCATTGAAGTTTAAAAGAAAACATCGAGATGCTATGCACTAAGATTTGTCGCTTTCTATCACAAACAGGCAAATCGAGGTTGCCATGTCAACACAATACAAATCTCGATAATTCCATTAATATGCAGTTTTCGCTTGAGAATACGTTCGATCGATCTCACTTTTCGTTTTCTGTTCGTAAAATTTTGCATTTTTAATGAAAGTATTTTAGTCCACTTGCGGTTGTCTGTGTAAGATGCTGAAAATGCGCCTATCCGGGTATATAAAAATTATCTCGACTTTACTATTCTCACGTCGACCCTACGTTCAAAAAGCCATTCATCTAAATTGTACCGAAATTACAGCCGTAATTGCAGGCTTTTCACTGTCATTTGCAGCGATTCTCTTTTCAGTCTATTTTGAACAACGGTTTGCACAACAGTATAAATACCTTAGAACTAGATACTGTTAACCTGTTTGGTTGAAGTTACTCCGATAGTTGGTCGAGCATAGTAATATGCGACGCTCTCTAAGAAAGTTTAACCTCCCCAAACGTTCTCAGTCATCGAATGACTTCTAAGGTATAGAGCTGGCTTTTTCTTATCTAACATGTCTTTTGCTCGATGTTTCAAGGATTCCAACAGGCCGATTGATCAAAGGCATGAGATTGGCTTATCTGTTTTTATTCTATTGACCACGCTTTTTATATATTGTGGTGTTCGCCTTTAATTACTCTCCTAACTTAAATTCCCTGCACCAGGGTTGGAAATTGTGCGAAATCATCACTATCTTTTCATGGATTTGGATTTGATTGGTACTTGTATAATATCCTCACTTGGCGGGTTGTTTCAAATAGGGCAACTCAACTACCTATGGATACTCTCATACTCCACAGCATTTGCTGTACATGCAGCGCTATTCGCACTTTACTATCCACTGGTGTCTCAATAGCATTACTCCTACTTCACTGTCTTTATGAGGACTCCGCTCATTCGGTAGACTAGCCAAATGTAACTCGCCCTAAAGCTTCTACCGATTCGTTCCTTCTCGAAAGATTCCATACCCACCCAGCTAGTCTTCTATTGATTATTTCACATCTGGTAGTGATCACCACAATGAGTTGCGTTTCTGAACTCTCAAGTAACCTTTCAACAACTTTATCTGTGCGATTATCTGCTTCACAATATTATACGCGGTGAAATATAAGAGTATGTCTTTTAAAAGAATTGTCTCGAATGCAGTTGTCATCTTTCACATATGCAATAACTATTCCACTCAGCTCTTCTAACCCGGCCGTACTTTCGTTTTTGCACACTGTATTTCAGCTTCAACTTCGTTTACAACGACTGAACCAACGGGGAAGCTGTTGCACCTTCAACCCATCCCGACACTAATTGTGGCTGGTGCACCCATTGTTGTTTTTCACTGCATTTTTCAATACACACACATCATTTGCGTATGTTCCGTTCGTCTTATGTTCTAGAGTTTGACTCATTGCGGCACAGCTATTTTGTGCGTGTGCACTGAAGACAACATGACGCATCAATTCCACCCGTTGATGGATCTCACCTAGGATGAAAACATTGTAGGTACTAATGTGTTGTGAGAAGAACGAGTTTTGTACATCGCTGGCAGTAATTGTGAATTCAGTTCTAATTTTTTACGAGTGCAACTCGAAGAGAATTGAAAGAACGGAAAATGTGCTAGTGACGGAAAGTTATGAACAGATGACCCTATCCACTTGCTGGTTCCTAGAAAAGAGCTTTGTTCTTATTGCCATGCGTCGGACCTTTGACTTAATTGTCCGACCCACCAGACAGAAAAGAGAACACTTTGTTCGGGAACTGTTTAAGACTGGTTACTCATGACCTTTGAATACTCAGAGCAGCCCAAGTAGACTTTCGACCCATGGTAAGATACATGTGCGACTGCGGTTGGCTGCAGATACCTTTTTATCGCTTCCACCTTATTGCCCATGCTTTAGGCGCATGGTAACACACCAGCGCATGGTGTTAGTGCTCATCCATCTTCAGAGACACTCCGTGCTCTGCGCCAAATGAGTTGAGTTTATAACCCGGTGCAACTGACCAACTAATTATGGGAGATGATGTCGACCTACGTCACCTCCAATGAAGGGGACGCTGTGGCAGATTTAATCTGACCTGTCCTGTCTAGCATAACTCAGATGATTACCGAGGTCAGACAACCGACGCACCGTCTTAACGTGCAGTCTTCTCACCATGAGGAAGGTATATTGGAAATACAGTAGATCTTGATAGTGGATAATCGTTCGTAGCTACGGTGTTCACACTTCCTTAGCGATCTTTGTTCGCTCAGTAAGAAGAAGGTATCAGCAGTGCATTGTCCTGTCGTGTCGATGCCACGTACCAACACCAGTCACTGGGCATACCGCGAGCTCACTAGAGCCTACACCGGTTCAAGTCGGCGACCCATGGATTACAAAACTGACGTCTTACACCAATAGACCACCGGCCCACCTGGTCACTCAAAGTATAATCAAATAGCCAAGCGACCTGACTTCGTTCTAATTACCTGCCCCGAAACTAACTTCTTCACAGCCAAAGCGCTGGGGAAGCACCTTTTAAGCGGAACATTTCACCATTGATCGGGGTCTCGTGGTTCACTTGTTCATTTGTGCGAAGTAGGACACGGAAATGTATGGCAGTGAGGAACTCGCGATGGCGGATCTATAAGGAACACCCGAGCACGGAGAGCTGGACGGCCTATGCAATTCAACGTAATCATTGCACTCAACTCGTTCGTGAGGATAAACTGACATACCAGCAGCACCTGACGGAGCGCATGGTTTCGAATCATAAGCTGCTCTACCAACATGTAAACAACCTGCGCAAGGTAAAACGGGGAATCCCTCCTCTTCAAACGCCAGATGGCATGACGCTGACTACGGAGGATGCGGCGAACGTCTTGCGGCTGCAATATGCTTCGAACTTTCAATGCATTCCTTGGTCATCTGTTCCTTTGTCAGCAGCTGTTTTACAACCAAAACTTACGCACATAACTTTCACGGCGGGGATGGTATTAAAGAACTTGTTGTGTATGCGTAAGCACAGCTCTCCTGGAATCGACAACATTCACCCTAAGTCCCTTGCGGTAATGGGAGAAAGTTTAGCGGAGCCTCTGGCACGATTCTTCCAACGCTGCTTCGATCAGATGTATGTACCCGAGATGTGGAAATGTGGGATCATAACCCCAATTCACAAGGGCGGTAGCCGTTCTGATCCAGCCAACTACCGTCCTGTAACCCTTCTCCCGGTCCTTTCAAAGGTTATGGAAGCTATTGTTGCTGACGTACTAACAACCTATCTAGAAGAGTCTGCCTTCCTTGCACATGAACAGCATGGTTTTCGACGGAATCGATCGTGCACCACAAATCTGCTGCTAGCAAGATCGAGTTGGACCAAATTAATTGACAGCGGTGCAGGAGTGGACGTGGTCTACCTAGATTTCTCAAAGGCTTTCGATCGACTAGAACACGGAATCCTGATCTGCAAACTTCAGAGCTTCGGCATTGGTGATCCGCTCCTAGGATGGATCACAAGCTTTCTTCTCCACCGGAGCTTAGAGGTAAAAGTGCGTGGGTCCCGGTCCCATCCAATCCAAGTCGAATGTGGTGTACCACAAGGATCGGTACTGGGGCCACGATTGTTTTTGATGTATATTGACGACATAGCGGCCCTCATTCTTTCCAACTGCCTACTCTATGCCGACGACATCAAGGTCTGGAGAGCGATCAATACACCCGACGACTCCGCAATACTTCAAGAGGATCTGGATAAGGTGTATGCGTGGTCAGTTCGGAACCAACTCCCATTCAACACAGAAAAATGCAGAGTATTACACTTACGTCACCAATCAGCATTTTTCTATAAACTGGGTGACCATGTGCTTCACACAACTGCTGAGGAAAAAGGATTTAGGAGTCTTGATTCAGTCCGACCTTGGTTGTTCAGCCCAGGCAAAGAAAGCATCGAACGTGAGCATTCGAAATTTGGGCCTTCTCCGGCGCACATTTGGACGCTTCGATCCATCCGTCTTTCACCAACTTCTAGGTGCATACATACGACCACACGTGGAGTATGCAATACAAGTCTGGCAGCCGTGGCTGAGGAAAGACCTCTCTGATTTAGAGAAACCTCAACGACGCGCAACGAAGAACGTGAAAGGTTTAAGCCAGTTACGCTACGAAGACAGACTGAGATCGCTCAGGATATTTAGTGGTCAATATCGAAGACTACGGGGAGATTTGATTTTGGCTTATCAGATTCTGACAGACCCCAATCATACCTGCCGCCATCTGCTGGAGCTCAGTAACAACAACAACAATCTGAGAGGCCATCATCTGAAGCTGGCAGTGCAGTACAGCCGTTTGGAATGTCGACGGAATTTCTTTTCTGTTCGTGTTTGCCAAGCCAGGAATGCTCTCCCAGAATCTGTAGTCAGTGCACCCAACCTGATCGAGTTCAAAAATCGAGTTGATATTGCACTCACTTCATTGCACTATCTCCCATAGTACAGTCTACTTTTGAGAGATCCAAAATCCATACTTTAAAAATAAATTTCCCCTACACTTATATCAACAGTGGATGTATATTTGGACGCTTCAAACTCAAACACTTTGCGCCATGCGAATTTCAAGGGGCAGTGACTCTTTTAACCAAATACTCCATGCCTCATGATTCTCTCCGAGTTAGAGTGGATTATTATTTTGACACTTCAAACTCGGTGAGTCCACAAGCTTGTAGTGACTCGTTGTTAAACGATTTTACTGAATTGGTTTCCATTGAATTTTCCACACTTCTATGATTTTCGCACTGATCACCCTACGGGATTTGTCAAGCTTTAGCTTTTATACCCGCATAAATCCATTGTTCCATTGTCAAATGTCTTGATGAAGCGGATGCACAGAGAGTACAATGCCACTTCTGCGGCTGACGAGCCAAGCGCCCTAAACATATCGTATTACGACCGGAACAATAGCTACATTGGTCTTTTTACAGGACAATGCACAATGATTTTCACGAGTAAAAAAGCAGATGATGGAAAATCTCGTAGGATGGTTGGAATGAAAACTTTAAAAAAATCAAAAGATGAGTGAATCGTCAGTTTATGCGTCTACCGATTTGACTACATTGCTACATAAGGATAATTCAAAATGGGAATTGGATGTTCACATACAAAGTAATATAAGGATCAATCATAATTCACGTAATCAGTGGGAAAAGGAAATGATGGTGTTCATTAGTCTGCCGCTTCTTTGGTTCGATGTGATACCTAAATCCACAGTAACAGCGTTTAAGTGAAAATGAGTACGTTGATTGGTAGTATTAGGTTGACGTCCGGACATACATGGTTATCTATCGTAAAGTAAATACATGAATATATCGTATAGACGTCTTTTAAATACCGCCAGTGTGAGAAAAGATTATGTAAGTGGGGCGGGCATTCCAAGGTTGGTACACACGAATAGAAAAAAATTCGGGTGGCATTTCAACCGCCTATACTGTGTGGCTAGTTTTAGTTGGTAACCACTCAGAGTGGTCCTATGATCCAGCTCTAGTAGATGAAGACAAGCATGGTTTGGATACCTGAGGATCATCCGTTTTCTCCTTACATTGTTTAGGATCAAATATCAAGTCGCCAAGCAGGCGTCGACATAGTCCGCTGTAGACCCCGACGGTTTCCAGTCTCAATTAGTAAGGGAGGTGAAAAAGACCCATTACGTTCTAGGTCGCCGTTCATTGTGGCATTTCAAGTGCAATGAGGTCGTGCTTGCGCAAGGGATGCCAAGCATGGACAAGGTATTCCGAGTGGGGCCTGGTGTAGGCGTTGGAGGAGTCAAAACACCGGAGTGCCGTCCGCAAATGGCCAAGGGGTTGGTTGGCCTTTTTGGATGCTCTCTCGGCTTCTTGTACTAGGTCGCGCGCTGAAAAACTTCATCCCCCAGCTTACACTCGCAAGTGGATTGATGTCGCATGCTGATTCATTTGGTGGCGTTGAAATGCAGCGGGTTCTGAGTCACCCATTCGTAAACCCTATCAAGGTCATGCTGAAGCGGTACTTGGTTACCCGCTGTTTCGATGGCATACCATGTCTTAAGATCATCAGCGAAGAATAGGAAAATGGAAGTGATCACTCTCGCGGGATCATTTATATACATAAGGAATAGGCGTGGACTGAGTATTGAGCCCTGTGACACTCCGTACTGAACATCGATAGGGTTAGAGGGCGCTGCAAACTCACATTCAGAGGCCGTTGAATCAGGAAGTTACCTATCCAACCGAAAACTGGGTTACCGATTCAACATCTCT